TTCTTGAGTTCCCTGTATATACAGGATGTTAACCCCTTGTCTGATATATTGCTGGTAAATATTTTTTCCCAATTAGTTGGTTGTGTTTCTAGCTTAGTTGCGATAGATTTAGCTGTGCAGAAGCTTTTTATTTTAAGGTAGTCCCATTTGTCGAGTCTCTCTCCAACTCTGTCCAGTTATTTTTGAGAAAGCACAGTCTTCTGCCAGCACCACAACAGCCCTGAGTATTAATCATTGATTTAAATCTTCCTTAATTTGCATTTCCATGTCTATAAATAACATTAAAAGACTACAGAGCAGTGAAATATATATAACATAACTGTAATTGTACAGAAACTGGGCAGAAGACAATTGTGAGGTTGTACATGCATGATATGTATACTTTCATACATGTGTGTACATGTGTGCACGTGCATGTTGTACATATTCATGTTCATGTGTGTGCATAGGCTGGTCTGTGCAATTGTCCTTGTGTATTTGTATGTGTGTACTCCTGCATGATCTGAGAAATTGGAGTTTCATTAAGTTCATTTAGACCTGATGACAATGAAGAAAGACAAAATCAGTTCTCCACTGAGAACCTGTTTTGTTAACTTCCAAGAGACTGGAAAGGCTTATGGTGATACAATGTACCCTGGGGCAGGAGTGACTTGGTCCTCTGTGAGATTTGTCTCAAGACTGAAGATAGCCCATTGCTCTTCTTGAACAGTATTTTTGGCACATATCCTTGAGGATTTTTCACTCTAATTTTACCTTTGCAGAAGAAATTGCTGTGGTTTGTGACTTCTCTTTATGTAGATCTCAGTACTTGAAACATGAGGATACCCAAAAAAGAAATGGTGCCAGGACTGTTCGCTGGGCCCAGTGTCTATGTTATCCCTCCTCGTTTGCTAGACCAAACTCCCTACAGTAATATCTGTTAGTTATCCTATATAGCTAGGAAATGCTACTTCATATTTTCCCTTGAGAATAATCAACCTAAAATATTCCATATTAATATAATTATAGCTCTACTGCAAAATGGAATTCAGCTTACAGTCAGCTCTTTAGCTGAAAGTTAGGACTTTACAGAGAGCTTGTGCTTAGAACTTGAAACTCGATACAATATAACACCTGACAAAATCTGTCTATGATTAAAAATACACAGCTAATGAGCCACAAGATGCTTTTTGCCTAACAAATTGACACAGGATTTTTTCAAGTATGCATGTTATCTTGTCACAATAACATTACTTATAGAAATATCACTTAATGTATCCTTTCTGGAAGGTAGTTTTTAGTATTAAAATATTAAAAATTTCTATTTGACCCAATCATTCCCATCCACATTTTAAGTTCACTTGTGTACTCAACATCCAAATGTTAAGAGTGTCACAGAATTCATTCTTAGATTTCTTCTCTTAGCCACATTCACTTACCAGCTTGTGCTTGCTCTTAGGGCTTTCTGTGTTTATATATTCTTACAGCTCCAAATTGAGCTCTCCTGGTTGTCCACAAACTCAGATTTTGCTCTTAAGTAAGTCAGGAAACAGCCTGATTTCACCCTTTATCCCAAAAAGCTAGGGCTGCATAGGCATTCTGGTTATATCACCAGAAGCATGTTAGAAACATGAATCCATCTTAAAGAAAAACCTAAGCCAGTGACTACTGTGGTCTCCTACCTCTTAAAGGATTCTACTGTTTCAGTTGTTCACAGGGCAGACCTTGGTACCTTCATGACTTCCATAAGGGTTAGAGCAGCTCAGCACAAA